TTTAAAAATTTTAGGAGTGGTTTGTTTTAAAATGGTTTGTTAAAAAATAAAAAAAAAAAAAAAAAAAAAGAAAAGAAAAAACAAAAAACAGATACTGTTAGTCCACTAGAGGGCAGCATTGGTATTGAAACAAATAAGCTTCCCTTATTTGTTTCAATAAGTGCATCACAATGATACGTAAAGTTTTTTTCTTTCAAAGTAAAATTTCCAAGTATTTTTTTCCCCCCACTAGCTGTTAAGTCCTTATGTTTTGAAAAAGCCCCTTTAGGGAAATTATTGTAAATAAACTTTGCCATACTGATGGGTCAACCATCTATCAAAGTTATAATATATTGAGTCTGATTAAACTATATCTTTGTTCATTTTTATTACTTAAACTGCTCTATTTCCAGTTTCCCACACCTCATCATGCTCATAAATAGATAAAGGAGAGTCAGCAGCCTAACAGCCACGTTATAAAATGCTAAAAGTAAATCCTTTAAAATTGCTAATCTAACCTAAAGATCATGTTACAAGGCAATCTTTTTTTTCTGCTTTACGTAAAAAAAAAGAAAAGAAAAAAAAAAAACAAATACGATGGTACGTGTCTAGGGTGTTTGTTTATTGTGGCAACAGTGACGTTACGGTTCAATCACGGTGACATCTCAAAGTCCAAGCTTTCTTTTATAACTCTATAGAACCACTCCCAATAAAATAAACAGTGTCAGTGTGTTTAACGCCTCTCTCCTTTATCATGTTGCATAATAAATGATTTGCCATTTTTTTATCAGCTACTCTGACCTATTGATATCAACAGTTCACTGATTGTGCTGGAGGAAGATTTCTGACGGGGTTAACTGATGAAACCATTTGGTGCATAACCAGTTTTTCCACTTTAAGCTACATATAACAGATTCTCATATTTGAGCCAGACTTTGTGTAACTGGTCTTTTAATTTTCTTTTTTAATTTTTGAATATTTGCTACCAATTTACTGTTCCCCCTGTTGACCTTAAAGTAGGCAAAAAAAAAAAAAATATATATATATATATATAAACAGCTAAACTTAATTTTTATCAAAGTGAAAACATTGCATTACATTTTAAATATGGCCAATATTAAACATGAAATGCACTGTAAGGATGGAATATTTGATAGGCTTTAGTATTTCAGGTGCAGTGCTTGGTAATAAAATATTTTGCCACTTTGATGGACTTATGCTATAGTCCTCCTCACAGTGAAAATAGGTAGTGATCAAGATGCAAATCATGAGGTTGCACCACAATTTCCGGCAGGCCTCGGAAGAATCTTTCCTAAAATTGTATCTTTTAGCACTTTGTTTCTAGCAGCAAAAATTAACACCGAAATGCCTGAGATGCCAAAGTCTGACACGTAGTTATTTTATCATCAACAAGATGATTCCTGAAGAGGTGTAAAATGGAATAAAACAAAGAGCAGTGTAATAATCACCTGAAGGGATCATGACTAAAGAAATGGCAGCACATGAAGTCCCCAAAAAAAAAAA